GATGCTTTAAAGTCTGCTCCCGTTCCTAAGTGAGAACTTAAAAGCACAGCAAAGTCCATTTTCAGGTGTGCATTGCTTAAAGCTGTGGAGTGGGAGAAGAAGGAGATGGCTGCAGGGACACTCTGTAGGGCACTGTTCAGCTGAGGGCTTTTGCAGCGAGTCTCAGCACCGCTCTGGGGACACTGTGTTGGCTGGGACCAGCTCCGAGACCAGCTCTGGCTGGATAGCTGGAATGCACTTGGCTAGGGTAATTTTCAGCCCTTCCCACTCCTAAAAGCCAGCTGACTCCAGGAAATCTTACAGCAGAGTACTAAGGTGGTTGCCTCTCTGGGTCAAGCTGCTGACAAGGGTGCAAGGGGAGCAGGATCTGCCTCGCTATGCTGTAGGAGAAGGGACCTTTACTTTGGGTTGGTTTTTGTTGTGCATCCTGAAAGGGTACGGTAGGATATCATGAATGACACCATGAACTTCCAAAATGCATTTGAAAAAGGCACATATACAATAAAGCATATATCTAATTATATGGTACCATATGTATATAAATATACTTTCTCAAAATCAGCTGCCCTAGACTGCAGGCCATTACTACCATCCATTTTTGTTTTAAAATTATACTAAGCCAAGCTAAGATGCAAATTTCTAACGTCAAAGCCAATTTCTTCACACTTTTCCTAAAATCCCACACTGAATTTTGGTCACTCAGGTATTCCTCTCCTCATTATGTTATCATGCACAGCAAAAAAATTAGGAAAGGAATACTACCTTGCAAAGAAAGATTGTATTACTGCTGCTCCTGCCCTTGGTTGGAGTAAGCACCTTCCCCTAAATTATCTCCAAAGTTTCTTTCTGGAGGAAGGAGTGTGTGTCATCTAGCTTTTCTCAAGTATGAAAAGATAGCTCAGGACCTAGGCAACTAATAATGTCCTATTAAAGGCCAGTTTTGAAGGGGTTGGTTTAATTTCTGGCCTCCTCATCTACCTGACAGCCCCAGTTTAGGAATGCCTTTGTAAACAGACAGCAATTTGGAAACTCCCAAAATGGAGAATTTCTTCACTTTCTGTTAAATATACTCTAGTTTCACATGGCTGTGGAGCTGCGTCCTCAAAATGTAGAAACTGCTACCATTAAAAAAAAAAAATCAGGCCAATTATCAAATTTAGATTCTTTCTCTCTAATACAGACCAATAGAGGTCAATGCCTAGACACACCGTTCACATCACATCATAGATGGAAGAGCTTTTTAAGGAGAATAAAATTGTTTTAATCCCATAAGTTACTGAGTAAAGAGGTGGCTTTACTGAAAAATGCTATCTGTTTTGATGGGCACTCCTAACTGATTGCAAAGAGAGGTGGCTGTAAAATTTATTAGCCATAACAGCAGATACATAGATAATGCCCTTTGCTCCAAGAATATGGATCATACCAAGAGCAGAATAAGCAGTCACATTTCTATTGCAATTAATAGGCTTGTAATTCTCTAAATTGAGTCAGATTCTTTTCACTTTCAATGTAAAAAGAAGCAAAAGGTTTTACTGGCAAGAATATGTGCAGAATGGCCTTTTTTTTTTTTTCTAATGAAAATGGGGAATGCTCACAGGAAGCCAATTCTAAATTTGAAAATGCATGTTTTGAACTGGAAGCCCAATTCCAAGAATTTCCAGAGAGTCCAACAAAAATAGTCCAGGTTCGATTTCCAGCACCAAATACTTAGAACAAATGGATCTGCAGGCCAAGGATTATCTACTGAAATTCCTAGTACACTGTGAATGGCTAATGAACTCGACAAAACTCAAGAGCTTTTCTTAGAAATCTGCAGAGAGAAGCAAGAAAAAAAAATAATATCCAAGGTCCCATTTTGCACATTTCTGTGTAGGGGCAAACTGCTTTATATAAACCCTCCAATAATTTTCAGTCGTAAAAGAATGCTAAAATAAAAACTAGTCCAAAACTTTGTTCAAAATTTGAACTAGAATTTAATCTTTCTCCTTTCCCCAGCTCTAGAATGAAAAATTTCAGTGAGTGTTCAGAAAAGCACACTGATAATAAAAATGAATGCAACACCTCAGCATCTTGCTCTCCAAACCCAGCAGTTCTTGGAAGGTAACTAAACCAGCATGTCTCCCCCCCTGGCTCCTCAGCTCTCTGTGCCTGTGATACCAGGACACAGCAGTGCTCACACACACAGATCTCACATGCTACCACTGGAACAAGAAGTCAAGCTTAACTGAAGCCACCTACAAAACCACTGAGCCTCTGCATCTGATCTTCTCAGCCTCTACAGAACACACACTACAGGAGGTATCAATGATTCATCAATGAATGAAAGCGCATGCTAACAAACTGCAGATATAATTGCAGCCAACTTATTTGTGGATACACAAGAGATTCTCCGCCTTTCCCGTATTCTGGTGCTTTCCCAAACACAGGCAGAATTTTTTAAACACTTTTTCCGCTAGTGCTAACTATTCCAATAAACCATAGCCCATGCTCTTTCCACTGACCACAGAAGGGAGAATGGAGTGTTGTCCCCCAGAGACTGAGGTCTTGCCGGCAACCTTTTCCTCTGGCTCAGGCACGTGTGCTTCTGGAGGCTCATGCAAGCCTAGTGACCTTCAGGCCCTGCACCTTTCCCTTTGCACCTTGTTCTTAGGACACCATTCCTGCCTCAGCAGAAAGCACAAACACTTTTTGGTTTTTCTGGTTACATGCTGCAAAAGCAACCTCCCCTCTTCTGAATTGCCAAGCACATCCTGGTGCAGAACATGGCCAGCAGCCTCCTAAGCCAACCTTTATAGCTGCAGAGAATCAGCCATATGGAATAAAAGTGATGCCCTCCAGCATCTCCCCAGTTTTATGCTGCACAAACTCCTTTGATTACACCAAGCACAAGAAAACCAGAATGGCCTGGAGGATGGGAGTGGTTCATTTGCCTGAGTCTCCTTTACACTAGGACAAAGAAAGAAGGAGGGGGAGGAACCAGATGACATTAAGAACAATGTTGGGAATAGGTCTTTAAATCTGTCTCTCCAAAGCCAGTATATTCCCAGCCTTGATAGCTCTCACATTACACAAGATGACATTTCTCTCCATATTGTATTATAATTAATAGGCTACTGCAAGACTTTACCAGCTCCTACTTAATAGCATTTCAGTGCTGGGAAGCAGTCATCAGGTAATCTGGCCATGATCTACTGTATCCTTTCTAAACACAGTTTCTAGCTGCCAAGAATGTCACCATAAAAAGATTTCAATCAATACCACTCAGCTCCTACTTTCAAACGCTCCTGGTCTAGGAAGAGAAGAAAACCAGTACCCTCAAAACGAACAGCAAACTGGCACATGCATCGAGTATGCAGATTGAAGTGAGCAGATGGGAATTCATTCTGGCCTGATCTTGCTCTCTCTTTTATACTTTAGTAACTTTAGACTTTGGAAAAGGTTTCACCAAGCTCATGGAGGCTGCATGCACGGAGGGGGTTAAACCCATGCAGATCTTTCCATTCTCAAGCTGTGCTCTTGTTGCCAAACAACAACATTTCAATTGTGATTGGTACAAACAGTTGGGTTTCAATGGCAATCTGTCATGTAGGTTTAAGCCCAGTTTTTACTGATACAACCAGAAACTTGCCGGGTAGTTGCTGCCTTTGTTACTTATTGGGAGAGAAAGAAAGGAAAGGAAACAAAACAGACTGGTAGTTTTTTTTTTTTTTTTCCTTGTCTAGTCTGGAGTTAAAGCACTTGCTCTGGAGTTCCCTACAGTGAAATTAATACGTTAGGAATAAAAACTAAAACTGCAAATGCAAATCAAAGCATGGCAGCTGTATGTCCATGTTTCACTTTCTGAAGAAATAGGGAAGGTCATACGCAACGTGTTTGTTTGCAGGGCTTCTGTGCTCCCCAAGAGCAAGGGCTATCCAACAAAACCTGCAAACACTTCCACCCCTAAATTAAAGCAGGATTGATGACTTGAAAGCAAAAGGAAGTCACTGGTTCAGCAAATTACAAATAAGATGTCATCAAAACAAACCCAAAAAACCCACTCGAGGCTCAGATCCCGATGTTGGGGCAGTTCTATTAAATTCAATGGAGCGAAGAGGATTAATGCTGGCCAAGATCTGGCTCCCAGCACTTTCCCAGCTGCAAGTCTTAGTTTAGGCTGTTGCCAAGAGGTTAACACTGTGATAACAGAATGAGAAAGTATTTATACAATTATATACCTAAATATACCTATATTTAAAGAACACTTTGCTACTAGTACTTTTGTCATTTTAAAATCCATGATTTTAAAACAAAATTATTTCAGAAGAGCAGCAGAACCTCTTGAGTAAACTACAGACTCTCTCACCCACTCCTAGGCCACTTACTGTCCTAGAAGCAAGTTTAAATGTTATTTCTAAATGCTATTTCTTGAAACATAGGGTGCAACTAAATAAGTAAGGCTCCCAAGGGTCCCTAAGAAGCCAGTGAGTCAACGCATAGGCATGGAGTAACAGCAAATCAACAATTCTAAAAAAGGTGCTTCATAAGTTAAGGAAAATAAAAATACAAATCCTCAGACTTACCACAGAAGGCCCTCGGACTTATGAAACTAAACTGCTGTAATGTGGTACAGTGTTAAGACATACATTTTTTTTTTTCCTTTTTTTTTACATTCTAGAGGGGAATACACACTGAACCCAGGAAAACAGCTCACCCTAGAAAGTAATTTTGAAAGGAATATTGACTTTGATTCATGCTCCTAAATCCCTAACCGTTTTGCTTTGAAAAGAATCGTTTATCCTGCAGAACAAAGGTTCCCCCCCACGCCCCTCCTCCAGCCACCGAAACCCCGCAGCGTACCTACACGTTTGAAAAGGGCTCTCCTCTGACATGATTCTACCTATTCCTCTGAAATCCTACGAGTGGCATCTCGTCGGGACTTTAAAGCACCTAGCAGGGTTGAGCGATCTCCCAACACAGGACACAACGTACAGCTGACTGAGACAGAAATGGACTGCCTTCCAATTCCCACAGAGAGCGAGGAGGGTCGCTCTCCCCAAAGTGACAGCAACGGCAAACCCCTCTTTCATCCCTTCCCTTCCTTCTTTCCATTCTTAAGCTGAGCAGAGCAAATGAGGTTAGGTCCACAAAAAATAAGGTTAATAATAATAATTAAACAATAGCAACGACAACAGCAACAACAACAAAATAAGTGTCTCAATGTCTGAGGAAAAGTGGGATTGTAAGTGCAGTATTTCTTCATGTGCAGTTCTTCTACTTCATACGAGTCCCCTTTGGATGAGAAGGCCTAGTGGAATGTGTGCTCCCCTCGGACTATGTGCGACGAGAACTCATAGCGGTCCTGGCTTCGGTAGCCACAGATGTTGCACTCTAGCGGGTCCCGGTAGCCGTGGCAGCCCATGTGGATGGTGTACATGACATGGTCCAGGAAAAGGACGCGACAGTGCTCGCACTTGAAAGCCCTAATCTGCTCCCCTTCTCCATTGATGACCTTGTAGATATCCTTTAAAGAGCCCTTAGAAGCTTTTGTGGCATCCAAAGCCTTGGCGTCCTCCTTCATATAAGCCGGACTTGGCTTTCTCTTGGGATTTAAGGCAGAGTTTCCTTGGTAGGACTGGCGGTCTTCGTGGCTGCTCTCTGAGTCAGTAGAATCCAGGCAGCTATTGCTGGGGGAGCCCTCTCTATCCTGGGTTCGACTCTTTGGTCTGATGAGGGAGATCGGGCCATCCATGTTGTTCTCATGACTGTCAGCTGTTTCCCTGCTAATGGGCCTTTCTATCCTGTTTGGATGATAGACCTGAGCATAAGCTGAGCTGATGACCGGGGCCACCTCTGCAATTGTGCTTGGTGTGTGCTGCATCAGGGGATGAAGTGCCTCAGCTCCAAGGTAGGTGATTGCATTGTTGATGGCTTGGTCCATCATGTGAGACTGCATCAGCTCAGCCTCCTTCTCATAGGTTAGGTTCATATCAAAGGGAATATCTGGATAGCCAAATCTCATGAGCTTTTCACCTAAAGGACAAGAGCAAATGAATGAGAAAAATCAACATAATCAACTCCAAGGATTCTCTGTAAAAGGGGTGGGGAGGGACAGAAAACCCCTGACTTAGGGCGATATTCATTCCAGAGTCCAACATTAGCTGCCTCCTACTTATTTACTGACCTCCAAAAAAGCTTGTCCCGAGTTGGCTAAAACAGCAACCTCACCAACAGCATTTTTTTATTCCTGGTGAAGCATGTGGCTGCAGCCACCTCCAGACTGATTCCAAATCTTCCACCCCATCTGACTGTGCCTATGCTTCAAGTTAGGAAATGCATATCAACTGACAGAGGAGGGGACTGCATGAAGCTCCCATGGTTTATACCATTGGACATACTCTCCACATGTCTCCCACACTCCAAGGTACCTCACACATAGCTCTCAACAGCGCTGCATAGCAAGAAACCTAAGCAACAGGTACAGGGGGCTGCTATGGTTGCAACTGTAGAGTCACAATACGTAAATCTTTCCAGCAGCAGAAGAACTATAAAATGCTTGAATGTTGCCACAGAACAGAGCAAGCAACGGGAGTACTGGGGACTGTGCTGTCTTCTCATTCTCAGGCTATAGTATCTTTGTAGTTCTCAAAAAAAAAATAAAATCTCCTACCCCAATGTTTTGGACTGAGATAAAAAATGACACACATGCCCCAGTGTCTAGGCAAGAAAAAAAAGACAGAAAAACCACATGTATAGCTTAGTTTCATTTGGTAAAAGGCAAAAGCACCTTTCATTGGCACAAGATTACCAAACACATAACGAAGATGAAGTTGGCTGACTAATCACTATGTGAATCCAAACTCACATCCTTGTAACCTTTTAAAATCAATGGCATTACAGATATGCAAAACCAGGACCACATGCTGGTAGGTTACGTTAGTCACAGGGCATGTTACATATCACAGCTCTTCTTTCAAGGTAACAAACTTCCCGCTACTTACATCACGGCTCAGCTCAGCAGCGTTGCCTTCCCAGTGATGGCTTTAGAGCATCAGTACAAAGACAGTTCAAATAATAACTCTTCTTTTTAAATAGGAGAGGTTATACGTGTAACTAAATGTGTAAGATACAAGATGTACATGCTTGTATGTGTACACACACAAATATTAGCCAGTTGTTGTCAGTCAACTTTTAAAGATAATTTTACAAAGCCTAATAAATAATTCCAGTTGGTTTTCATTCTCTTTGTTACTTTTCATTGCCTTGGTACATACAACCAGACTTTTCTTTAATAGTATAAGTTAATAAATTCAAGGAGTCACTACATATGACTGGTTTGGCTATCCAACAATTAAAGAACTCAAAAAATCTTATATCACCTTTTGCCAAAACTGTTTGGAACAAAATGTGTATAAATCATCATAAGAAAGAAACAGAACCATAATCCCAAATCTCTTCCAAATAGCATTAGTACATTTCAATATAGTATCACACAGCATTTTATTTTTTACTATAATAATTCATTCCACTTAGTTTGGCTTACCTTAAAGTGATGCATAAAGAGAGAAATAACTTTACGTTACCCATGGAACAATCAGGTTATCCTTGGAGATGCTGCATCACTTTTGGTTGGGAACTTAGCCCTGATCAGTAAGGTAATTAAAAGCAAGTCTAAAGTGAAAGAGGCGAATAATTCCTGCTCTCTTCACCAGTACTGCTCACACGCTTCTGATTAGACACCATGTTCAGGTACCTCACTACGTTTCCCTGTGGATGGTTCTGTTACACTTACAGCTTACTGAAAGAAAGCATAATGTAGAACATTACTCTTCTGTTACACATTAGATATCTGGAGAAAAATAGGGAATGAAGGAAGGAAATAGCAAAAGGTGCTATTAAGATGGCCTTTGTATATCTAACGTGACCCAAGGGTGATTCTTGCCATCAAACACCCTCTTTTCAGTGTTTCTGCCATAGGGTTGCAGTCTTGATAATCTGTGATGGCTGAAAACAATCCTGTAGCTGACAGGATGGATGTCTCTGTAATGTGAGAGATCTCCAGCCTCACTTGAAATTGAGCAGCTCCTTCTCAGCTGGGGCTGAAGTGGGACTGGAGGACAGCTCCAGGAGGCACGTGGTCTCTTTGGCATGGTGGGAAAGAAGAAATGAAAATGGAAAAGTCCATTGGTCTCTGTGACCTTCTTGGGCCACTTGTATCATTCCTACGTGTGAATAACTAACTGCATCTGGTGGGTGTCTCATCCAGCTGCCAAACACACTGTTGGTCCTTTGTAGACTAGATAGATCAAGAAACAATACCCAACATTTATGGGCTACTTGGCTGAATAAGGCAAACTTTATTTTGATACTTTTCATCTTCTACATTTAGGCACTCCACTGCAGACAATGGAGTATAAAAAACTATAAATTGCCAGTGATCTGAATGATTCCTTCCTTTAATTATGAACCAGTTCCAAAGATGTCAGAGCCTTAAAAATGGAGTGTGACATAAAAGACTAAAAGAAATTATAACATGGGGAAGAGAGAGTGTAAAAGAGAGCTCAGAAGAAACATTAACAAACTAGTCCAACATGGTTTTCAATTTTAGTTTCTCTTTAGCCCAAACTGTAAAAATAACTAACCAGATTAATAATTTTGAATTTTCATGCAAAATGATGTTCAAATTCTATTTATTCTCGCCATATATTAGTGAAGTAGAAGAAGAAACATTCTCCACTGTGGTAATCTTATCATTATATGGGGAAGATTATGGAGTGGTTCATCTTGGGGGTGATCATGTGGCAAGTGCAGGACAACAGGGGGATCAGATCCAGCCAACATGGGTTCATGAAGGGCAAGTCCTGTTTGACCAACCTGATCTCTTTCTATGATCAGGTGACCCGTCTAGTGGATGAGGGAAATGCGGTGGATATCCTCTACCTGGACTTCAGTCAGGCCTTTGACACCATTTCCCACAGCATTCTGCTGGAGAAGCTGTTAGCTCATGGCCTGGACAGGTAGACTCTTGGCTGGGTTAAAAGCTGGCTGGATAGCAGAGCCCAGCGAGCTGTGGTGAGTGGAGTGAAATCCAGTTGGCGGCCAGTCACAAGCGGTGTCCCTCAGGGATCAGTTTTGGGACCGGTCTTGTTTAACATCTTTATCAATGACCTGGATGAGGTGATCGAATGCACACTCAAATTTGCAGATGATGCAAAATTAAGTGGGAGTGTTGATCTGCTTGAGGATAGGATGGCTCTGCAGGGGGATCTGGACAGGCTGGAGCAATGGGCTGAGGTCAGGTGTATGAGGTTTAACAAAGCCAAGTGCTGGGTCCTGCACTTGGGTCACAACAACTCCAGGCAATGCTCCAGGCTTGGGGAGGAGTGGCTGGAAAATGCCTGGTGGAAAAGGACCTGGGGGTATTGGTGGACAGTCAGCTGAACATGATGCAGCAGTGTGCCCAAGTGGCCAAGCCAATGGCATCCTGGCCTGCATCAGAAATGGCGTGACCAGCAGGAGTAGGGAGTAGATTGTGCCCATGGGAGGAGTAGATCATGCCCCTGCACTTGGCACTTGTGAGACCACTCCTTGAGTCCTGTGTCCAGTTTTAGGAACCACAGTGTAATATGGACATGGAGATGCTGGAGCGGGTCTGGAGAAGGGCAACGAGGCTGGTGAGAAGGCTGGAAAATGTAACTTATGGAGACCGGCTGAGGGAACTGGAGTTGTTTAGCATAGAGAAGAGAAGACTGAGAGGAGACCTTATTGCTCTCTACAACTACCTAAAAGGAGGTTGTAGTGAGGCTGGTGTTGGTCTCTTCTCCCAAATGACTGATAATAGGACAAGAGGAAATGGCCTCAAGTTGAGCCAGGGAAGACTGCAATTAGATATTAGGAAGAATTTCTTCACTGAGAGAGTGGTCAAGCACTGGAACAGGCTGGCGCGGGGCGTGGCGCGCCCTGGAGGGGTTCAAAAAACAAGTGGATGTGGCACTTGTGGCTATGGTCTAGTGGTTAGGGAAATGTTGGAAGGAAGGTTGGACTTGATGATCCTGGAGGTCCTTTCCAATCATGGTGATTCTATGATTCTGTGGCATTGAACAGGTTTGGTAAGACTAGTACCTCCATAGCAGATACATAACCAAGCTTCTCACGCAAAAATTATCTGTATTTTCTGTACGCTGCTTCCCTTCCTCCCGAAATTTCAGCCAGAGTAGAGACTGTGGTCCATAACCAAGGCCCCTTGGAGACTGCTGATCAGAAAGAGCAGTAAAGCACTGACAGATGTAGCATGCAATCATTTTAGCTTATGCTTACATGACCTTCTCATAAACACCATTAAGTTGTTTTGGACCGGTGCCACATTTGCAGTATGCACAGGAAAATTTCCTGCAAGCAAGAGAACCATTACAAGTTCTCCCTGATAAGAGTTGAACAGTATTTCATTGGGGAGACAATGGGAAGAAAAGTAAGGTCATGGTCAAACAAAGAAAAGTAGCAAAGAAAAGACTGTTGTTTTTTAATTCAAACACTGTGATGCCATCAAAGATCAGAAAAGGCAGAAAAATACAGTATAAAAGAGGATACTTTTTCCCTACAGCTGGATCCAGATAAAAAGCTGCATGTCACATGGAGCCCTGAATTCCTAGCTCCAGAATAACGGAATACCAAAATGATCTGTTACACCTGTAGAAGAAGCAGGTTTATCTAATAACAAAGGAGTGCATGCTAGTGACGAGAATAATAACCTGCCACAGTGCATCTCAGGCAAGGATTTCCAAAAAGTAAATTTGCCTCTGAAGTCATTACCAACATACGGTCAACTGCATGTGAGTGGACAAGTAAAGTAACCTTCCCGGTCTAAAAAAAGAGACTGTGATCTACAGCTTCCTAAACCAGATTCAACTTATACCATTCAAAAAGTGAATTGCCTCAGTTGTGAGGTATACTTATAATCAGTAAAGTACACTGCTTTGTTAGCAGGTATGGGTACACCCCAATTTAAGGGGCGGGAGCAAGGTCTCCAGCCCTCCAAGATGAAGTCTGTAGCCCCTACAGAGATAACCTCTGAGAGGTACTGCAAACACAATTTCATCCTGGGGCAAAAGGAGGGAGAGCTGTGAATTGCCCTTCTTCCTTTTGAGGCTGTAATGTTTCTGAGGTCTGGACACACCAGTTTAGGTGTCAGCATGGTTAACTGTTAGTCACAGCCTGCAAGAACGTACAGCACTTGCCGAGACAACACTAGGGAAGCCTGCTATGATGGGGACGTGTTTACAATCTCATAAAGCTGTATTTGGCTTGTCAGCAGAGAGTCCTGCTCCCATTTCAACCCTCTTCAACTCCAACTGTTGTCACAGCAGTAAATTAAATCAGAGTGTAAATCCTCCAAGCCCTTATCAGCTAGACAGTAATTCATTTCAGACCACTCTTAAAGGCAGCAGTCTAAGAATTAAGCTTTTATCTCAGAAGAACTAATAACAGTATCATACTGATCACTCCTCCCAGCATTCCTCCTGTGGCTTGGATTGTTCCTGACCTAAGCCTGGCTTAGCACTGATATTTGGGAATGGTCAGATGACCGAGAGCAGCCAGGTCACTGTGTCAGTGCCCCCCAGGTGAGCTACTGCATGCTGCTAGCCCCCTACTCGTCAAAACCATGTGGGTTAGTTTAAAACCACCTCCAGTGGTGATTTAACGAATCCATCTGAATCTGCATTTAGCTGAGGGGCAATGACTTTTCTAAATGGCTCTGTTAATTGCTTACAGCCCTCTGATCCTCTCTCAGTAAGTGTCCTCAGTGCAGGCAGAATGAGTATGACACCCTTAAATTCTGTATGACTGTCCTTCCAGGGAGTGAGTGGGGAAAATGTGTATTAGGTGACTTTGGAGTCCAGCAGCATACACCTAACCCAAACAAGTCTCTGTCCCAACTCCTCTCCTAACATACAGCACTGCCTCAGAAGCAGTAAAAAGAAACTTTAAGCTACAGCTCAAACCAAGTAAAATTACCCATACTGTCTCCTGTTACAAGCTGAACAATTTTAAGACGTAATTTTAGTTCCTCATGCCGGTATTATCAGACCAGTTGTTGCCAACTCTCAAGAAATTAATGTGAGTTACAAGTCTTGAGATAACTGTTGTTTTGTGTTGGCTTTTTTTCTTTTTAACACACACACATATGGAGACAGATAATTATATGAGAGCCTTAGTTTTTATTTGCTGGGGCAAGGAAAGGAGAGATGGTAAGTCTAAATCTTAAAAAGGCCAGTGAAAAGCTAAAAAACCCCAAACAGCCTTAAGGCACAGTAAAAAGCTCAAGATTTTCAAAGTAATTTTCATGATTCTGAGGACTTCTCTTTCAAATTCTCTGACTTGGTAAAATTAATTCAATAATTTTCAGAATTTCTTGCTGTGATTTAACCATCTCCGTTGTTGTCCCTCCCCATTGCAACCAAGCTCTGAGACTGCTACTTTTCCCCTTGTTTTTTTTGGCTGTTACAAATTACAACCTATACCTACACACTAAAAATAATAAAAGGCGTATTTCAAGCTTACCCACAAACTTCTGTGGGGTGGAGCTTTTACGCTTTCCCATGTTGCTTGTCAGCTTCTCTATAACAGCAGGTCTCTCAAAAGGCACCAGAGAAATATTGTTGTCCATCACAGGCTCTTGTTCCTTACAATCTTCCATAGGAGGTACTACATAAAACCAAAAAATCGTATCAGACAAGTCTGGTCTACGCTTCAGAGACAACACAAATCATTTGAGCCCTGCTGACTGCACGAGAAGTGCAACACAAAATAAAGCAAGGTGCAAGAACACACTGGGCATCAAGATAGCAATCACCTTTAAGCAGAGCCACATTTACAAAATGCCTCTCTTTGGGACCACCTTATTTAGCAGAAACCAAACTTTAAGCATTTATTAAAGGACTTGTTTTGTTCTGAATACTCAAGATCCCCAGTGAGAAGGGGACACTTCTGAAAACTCACTCTGTAGATGAAATTTTCTGTTATTCTCCCTTCAGTATGGTCACCTGTCACCAACCTAACCTTTTAGTTACAATTCTTTGTGTATCTCCTTAACTTTATGCTTATCACATGGCATGCTTACCATTTTGATTTCCTTTTTGTGCTGATCTCAATGATTAAAAAAACATAGAAGGCATTGATGACTTGTGTCTCCTGGGCCTGGCTGTGCATTCCCCAAGACAGAGGCTTCCTGAATGAAGGATCTTTTTGTTAAAGTATGTTCCTCTCTCTGTACGCGAGATTGTAAAAACAACAAACACTGCACTGGAATGACAGGATTAACATCATATGGAAATTCCCTTCAGTCAGTTGCAGAAATTATCAATTTTTTTCAAATATTTTATCCCTCCAAATACAGACCTAGCAACCTGTGAATGTCAAGTCTTCTGTGCCTGTCTTCCCACTCTTTGGGATCAGCAGGGAGCATTCCTGTGCTAACTGTGTTAGACAATGTTCATACATTGTCTTTGAGACAGTAACAAGAAATCAATGACCCTTTCTGCTTTTACTCCTCTCACTCTTTGTTTCGTGTTGGAATAAGGTGCTAGAGCAAAAGAAGTAGAGGGATTGCACAGGCTTCTGACCAGTGTAGTGACCAACTCGCTTTGGGTTTTATGTCACTTGCTGATTTAGCTGTTCACTTAATACCTAACAATTGTTGAGCATCCTCTTAAAAACATCAAGAAGAGTCAGTGGTACCATGCTGTGGATGAGGCCCAGAGAGTCAGAGTCATTTGCAATGACTATCCAGTGTGATTCCATATGCACCTCTGCTCTACTCTCAGAATTTAATACGTGTCCTAATTTTTCCCACGTTCATCTTCAGAAGGCAGCAAGAGAAATTGGAGAATTAGCACTAGTCCATGTGCTAATGGGATGTCTAAGATGTAAACAATTTTTTTAGAAGAATGGATAGCAGAGAAATAGAGACTGGGATGATCTTGCACAGAGTTCCTCCAATTTGTAAACTGTGAGCAATCCACTGCATTATCTGTATCAGATAAATCTTCCAGTGAAGTCATGGGTGGAATTGAAGAAATGTCAAGAGAAGGACTGAAACCTGTATCTTCTGCCAGTCCTCTTCTGGTCTCTCACCACAGCAGCCTTTTGTGTCACAGGCACCTTGTCCCTGAGACTGTGCTATAACTGAGCACCACCAGCCTACCTTCTCCCATGTAACTTTACTACCTTCAGGATCCTAATATGGAATAATCACTCCCCTGTTTTAAATGTGCAGCTGTTTGCTGGCACATAATATAAGAAAGATGGGGTGATAAAAGCCTTGTCTTTATCTTTTTTCTAGTAAGGAAGACCAAATACCAGGCAATCACAAAACAGAGTATCTGCTCAGGTGAACTCAATTCAGATGTTTGTAATAAGAAAACATGGCAATTTATTCATTTGATTCCATTTGTGCCTCTGCCACTATGGAAAGCTGAGTACTTTGAGGCTTAGAAGCCACCATATGCTATAAAATGATTTACTCTGTTGCTTTTTTATTTGTACAGGATGCTCCCCCTGAGAAACACAATGGATTCCCATTTACAAGGCAGTCCTGCTGGCATCAGTGAAAGAGAGGAAGAAAAAGCATAAATATGAAATAAATCTCATGTTGCAACAAAATTGGATGCAATGTTCAAGTGACCTAATTAATGCCCAGTGCAGAGTGGGAGTTCTGGAATACTTTAATAGCTAAGGCAAAATTTTTAAGGTTATTTAAATACTGTGCTTGGCCAGGAGCTATCTGCACTAGTTCTACTCAAGTATTGATCACGGAGATTTGCAAAGAAAGAAGAGATTACCTCTGTTGATTTTCAGTGGGAACTGGCACCTGTCTGTCCTTCTGGCTTACCAAAAATCAGTGTATGCATGCACATTGTGCACACACATTTTGTGTGAAGCCTTGGATCCCTGCTCAGCACCAAGACCCATCTTCTCTGCAGTGGGCCAGGTTGCACGTGGGTGCTACTTCAAAAATTTCCAACCGTTGGTTTACAGGACACATGGGGCCAATGGGGGGGGACCTAGTGAAGTGCAGAGGGCTCCAAGTCCCTCCTAGGAAGACTTCCTAAAGGCATGCTGGCTTTGTTGGACTGTACTTGCCCACAAAATCAGTTCAAAACTTCCTCATTACTTTCACAGCCACCTGATTAAGCCCCAAATGTAGGGACATTGGCATGTCTCATAACAATGAAGCGATAATTAAATAATTCTACCATCAGCCATATGTGTGTAAAACTTCCTAGATGGAATTTGAAACCTTTTTTCCATGAAAAAGTGAACAGTGCAAAAAAGGACATCTGCTCTTCTCTCAGTCAGGCAAAAATTCTGCTTGGACTCCTTTTTAAAATAAATTATCACCCATAAAAGCATTTTATTTTCTGTCTTGCATGCTGCAATCTCTTTATCCCACCCCAGAACTCAACTCTATAATCATCACATGGTTCTTTTGCAACAGAATCACTGAATCATGCCAATATTTCTGTTATGATGGGAGTAAGTTACCAAAATGTGTTTTGTTACGTAGATATCCTGGGAGAGGGAGAGAAGGAAATAGCCTAGTTCCTGAAACCATTTAACCTGCATGCAAAACCGAACCAAACAGGTGAGATGACACATTTTAGAAAGCCAAAAAGATGAAGATCATGCTGTCAATTCCAGACACATTAATTTTCATTTCAGTTTTAAAATACACAAATAAAGGACAAATAGCCTAGCCTGCATCTTTCATTTCCTGAGGAAAATCAATAAAAAAAGGGAAAAGCAAACTGATCACACACAATCAACAGTTACCACAAATCAGGTGCACTGTTGTAGAAGCTCATGTGTGCACATCTACTCTGTGGCAAATGCAATTCCTTTTTTGTTGTATTTCACTGTATTTCATTCCCTTGGTAGTGGGTGCTACCAAAGAATATCTGACATGTTACAACTAGTTTTGATACAGCAACTCATTTTATGCTGTGAACCTATGGTCTCAGCTCAGAAGGGCTTTTTAATTCTAAAAGCTCACATTTTACTACATTTTTGTTCAGGGATGTTCTTAATCAACTAACAGGGTGTGCTCCCAGATTGCCCTTGCAAATGTCCACCACCTACAACACTGTTAATATCCTCAATTGCAGTTAAGACCAAATGTTGTTCCTAAGCTCAAACTCTCAGTACACATAGAGGATCTTCAGAACAATATCTATTTTGCTCAAGACCTTAGTCTTTCAATCATAGTGCTCAAAGAGGCTGTCTTTTAGTTTTTGCTTCTTAATTCATAAGAAACCACACATAGTATTAAAAAAAGTTTATGCTGTTCCAGGGAGGAAAGGAAAAAAAAGGAGGAAAAAAAAAAAAAAATTACCCAGTATGTGTGCTGCTGATAAATACTTTTGTGTGCAGACAACAAACACTGGACTATGTCTCAGCTGCTATAAATTAGTATTACTCCATCAACCTCAATTTCCTTTCCTAAGCTCACAATATTGCTATTTAAAAAAAGCATGTGTGTGTGCAGAGAAATGACAGGAAATATTCCCATGGACCCTGGTGTGAAGTCTCCTGTGGGACCAGCACTTTAACGATGTTTTAAGCAACTATGTAAGTGGGGAGGACACAAGGCCATTGTGTGTTTTATGTGGAGCTGGCCTTTGAGCCTCGCACAGCCTAGGGCTAAGCTTCTTTCTCGTTCTCCTAAGAAGAGCATCCTTCCTACTTTAAGCATTCCCCTGGAGTTTTTGCTTTGTGGAAATGGAGAAGAACATATAACTGGCTGTAAACCACAGCTAGCCTTTAACATTCCTCTCTGTTTGTTCCTCCAAAGGTCATGTTCTCATGTCAGAGACTGTCACTTCTGTCACCCCCAACACACCGCTAGCTAGCAGACCATAGACTTATTTCTAACTCCAGGGTCAGCACTGCTTAGCCAAAAATTGCCAACAACAAAGTCACAGGAGCTCTCTTGCAGCAGTCCTGGTGCTGACCAGGGAACAGGAGCTAGCCACAAGGTGAGGCAGCTCAGCAAGCAACATGCACCCAGCAAGGGGATGGAGAGAGACCAGGAGACTTGTACATTCCTACCCACACACCAAAACTAGCTCCTCTTCCCTTCCTCTCACTTCCCCTTGTGGCTTTAGTCAGGTGATCTAGCCATCTGCGAGACTAAGATAAATCAGAGGCTTCATCAGGTCACTTCAAAAGCACCCAAATAGCCGTTTGTAGCATGCCTATAAACTGAGCAACTTGAGCTCAATGCTTGAAAAAAAATCCAGGCTCCCTAGTGGCTGCCTCCAGTTTTCTGGAAAAATCCATATCTGGAGAAAAAATGTAGCCCTATGTTAAACACTGGTCATATTGGTTGAGACCCAGCACAGCCAACTGTGTCCTTAAAGCAGGATGCTGTAGGGATAAGAATATCCTACCTCCCCTCTACCTATTCTGAGCCTAGTAGTGAAGCTGTGACCCAAAGAGTAACACCAAAATGCATTCAGAGGCTTCAAAACCCTCACCAAATACTTAAAGAGTATTTGGAAAGACAGACAGGAAAACTTCTCCCCAGTGTGAGGCAAAATAAATCAACGATCAAAATCTCCAAAGCATGAACTCACTCACGCTCAGGAATAACCTCTCCATGTGTGACAAGGGAGAGAAGGAAATGGATACATTTTTCAGGGTTAGACTAGGACCCAACGTTAAGCTAAGTAATCATATGCATACTCTTCCCTGGTGTCTTTATAGTCCCAGGAGAAAGGACTTTGCTGCAGACCTATACAGGTTGGCACTCATGTCCATCACTCCCATGGTGAGTGTCACAGGGGAGTGTGATGCTGGGATGTGAGGTGAGATTTACTCCTGGTCCCAGCTGAATCTGGAACTCCCTGTTGCTGCCTGTCATTGCTGTGCCCTCACTGAAGAGCTAAATCAGGACAGGAGATCAAATATCCCCTTAAAAATTCACCAAAGGAGATTTAGATATATTTGCCCTGGGGAGAATGAGGCACTAGTTGAATTCAAAATGCTATTTTCAGCTAAATTTGTTGAGAAAAGTGAAGTGGATGCGTGAACATTTCTATTTTAAGCCCAAGCAAAGTCAGTCAGGCTGTAATTAAAAGAACCGTCCACATGGGGTTTGCACTGGTTTAACTTCACTTGGTAGAAAAATCAATGCAAGGTCAACCATTCCAGCTTCTTTGAGCGGACAAGGTTAAAGACTTATCCTTCTTGTCATAGCATTAAGCAGCTTAGAAAAAGCTTTAGATTTCCTCAGAAGTACACTAACAAAAAGAGTAAACCAAATTTTAATAAATAACTGAACAGCAAACCCAGAAGTTAATTGAAATTTGGGATGATCATCCACAACATGACCTCTGAACCTCCTGGCTGTCATAACTGTAGCAGTCTACTGGTCTTTCCCTAAGGAAAGGGTG